TTTTCGCAAGGAACTCAACTTGGTGTCTATGGGAATTCCAAATCAAATTGGGTGCAAAATTCTTCTGACAACAAGTGATACCCAAGTGTGTTCTTCTATGGAAAGACGGAAAGAAATAACACTTGAGGCTCTAAATAATACTGAAGCCTGGGCGTTATTGAAAAAGAACCTAAGTCAAGATATGACTCGTGAAATTAGCCAGGTCGCAATTCGAGTTGCAGAGGAATGCAAACATTCTCCTATTGCAGTTATAACAGTAGGAAGGGCTTTAAGAGGGAAAGTTTTGGATCAATGGAGAAACGCATATGATAGACTTAAATCGAATTTGGTGGAGGACGAAAGTGAAAAAGTTGGTATTGTTCACAGAAGTGTAAAGTTGAGTTATGATCATTTGAAGTATAATGAGACCAAGAAATGCTTCTTATTGTGTTCTTTGTTTCCCAAAAATGATCCCATTGCTCCACCGGACTTGATAAGATACGCATGGGGGCTAGGGATATATCAAGGCATTGATTCAATTGAAGAAGTTAGTGAAAAAGTTAATGGGGCCATCGAAGATCTCAAAGATTCTTTTTTGCTGTTAAAGCATGGGAAAGCACACGTTCAAATGCAAAATGTGGTTCGTGAGGCTGCTTTGTGGTTAGCATCCAAAGAGGAGAGTTTCCTTAGGATAAAACATGTGGTCGGCTTGTGGGAAACGCCAAAGAATGAAGACCTTAAGTCCTGTGCAGCAATCTCTTATGTGGCTAGCAAGCCAGGGGAACTTCTTGACGAAGAATTCCGAAGTGAAAAGCTTCAAATTCTGTATCTTGGTGGGAATGGTTGCAAGACAATATCCAATGAATTTTTGCAACATTTGAAAGCACTAAAAGTTCTTGCTCTTCATCATGGTGTTTTGTCACCAAATGCTCTTCAGAACTTGACAAACCTTCGAGCTCTACACTTGGAGTATTGCAGATTCAATGGCCTACCATCACTAGAAAATCTGAAGGAATTGGAGATTCTCAGCTTTCGAGGTTCTGATATCAGTGAATTGACAGATGACATTGGAAAATTAGATAATCTAAGATTGCTGGATCTGTTTGATTGCCAAAAGCTGCATAGAATTCCTCTAAAGTTGATACAGAAGTTATCCGGATTAGAGGAGCTATATTTTAGTGGCCTGAGTTTTGAAAGATGGTGGTCTGAAGAGAAGATCAGTGCAGAGGGAAGCAGTCCTACCCCACCAGAGATCGTTTCACCTTCCATTTTGCCAACTCAAATATTTAAATATCCGAAAATAGATGAATGGTTTGACAAAAAATCAAGAGCCTTGAAGGTTTCGGTATTCTTACAAAATCAATCCAAGGAGTGGGATGACAATGTGCAACGTCTTGCTCGGGATTGGATTCTTTGTTACAAAAATCATGTTTTTCCAAACCTGGTTCAAAGTGTAAAGAAGGTCAGAGTTACATGTTGTAATAGGTTGCAAGCAGTATTTCAGGATGGCTCCATTCTTCACGGTATGGATGATAACTCTCAGGCGCTGCTCTCAGATTTAACATCCTTGGAGCTAGAAGAATTACCTAAGCTAAGCCGGATCTGGTGCGGGCAAACCAATAATGTAAGCCTCCAAAATCTGCGCACTGTGAAGCTAAAGGATTGCCAACGTCTGAAATATCTCTTCTCAACGTCCATTGCGCAAAGGCTGAACCAACTGGAAACACTTGAGATATACGGTTGTAATATGTTGAAGCAAATAATTGCTGAAACGAGAGATGATCTTAATGTGGATGTCAATGAAATCATACATCCGGCCCTCCTCCATCCTCTATGCTTGCCAAGATTAACAACTCTCCAGATTACTGGTTGTCTTGCATTGGAATACGTTTTCCAAATCACAACAGGTCAAATCCTTCAGAAGCTTACACTGCTCGAAATAAGCAGTTGCCTTCAATTAGCACAAGTGTTCAGCTTTCAAGATGCAGCGGAAGGAGAGGAGATCGAGGTACCTCAGTTAAAAAACTTAGCACTCAAAGACTTAATAAACTTGAAGACCTTTTGTTCAGAAAACCGTTCTATCAAGTTTCCGTCATTGAAACAGTTCGAAGTGGGAGCTTGTCACCAATTCAGTAATGATGTCATGTCTGAAGTGATAAAGCATGGTCGATTAGAGGTACTTATATTTGTCTTCCGATTTTTTGTAGATACAATAATTTAGGAAAGGAGAATCTAAAATTGAGATTTAACCTGATGGATGATATAAAGTTATAAGTATGTGCGTCCCTTACAGGAATTTTGCCTCTTCAATATGGGAAATCAATTTTGTGGAGAGATCTTTGAGCTTCCTTGTGGATACATCTTATCAAGTCTGAAGAAAGTGACATTGAAAGAGATATATGAGCTGCCAGTTATATGGAAAGAGACCACCCAAATTGTCACCCTTCAAAATCTTACTCGTTTGGAAGTGGTTAAGTGCAATAGACTGAGAACTATATTCTCACTATTACATGCTCGAAATCTGCTGCAGTTAAGCCATCTAGTTGTACAAGGATGCGAGGACTTGGAGCAGATCGTTGCCCGGGATCAGATTTCATCATCATTATCGTCTCGTCTCAAACCTGTATACTTCCCTAACCTTAACGAAATATCGATCGAAGATTGCAACAACCTGAAGAGTCTCTTTCCTTTTCGAGTCGCCCACTTTCCAAAGCTCAGAACGTTCAGAGTCAAAAGGGCATCCGGATTAAAACATATCTTTAGACATGAGAGTGAAGCCAAAGTCAAAAGTGGAGAGGAGAGAGTGCTTTGGTTCCCTGAATTGGAAGTACTGCACCTTGAAAAGCTACCGGACCTCGTCACCATCGTTCCGGTGTGTTATGAATGCGTATTCCCAGCTTTGGAATCGTTAGAGATAAAAGAATGTGCCGCCCAGGTTACAAGTTTCAGTTATTTTGATTCAGAGCCTACTATTGTCTACGCCAAAACCGAAGTAAGATTATAATTCTGCACCCTACACTCAAATTGAAAGGACTTGTTTTGCTTCAATTTGATGATAAGAAAAGCCACTTTTATGGCACATATATAACAAGTCTTCATCATGGAAAGATTTGCATACGATATATTAAAACATCAGAACTTTTAATTTTTCCCACCTTTTTCAATATTTAAGGCTTTAACTTGTTCTGCTGCAGGAAACTTCGTTGCCCAAAAAAGAGAATTACCCTAAGTTGAGAAGGTTTGATACAGTTAAAAAATTACAGACCAACAACGACAGAGATATAGTTTGGTCGCCAGGGATGAAAATTGACCGAAACAAGCTATCCTAGAGCAGTCAGCCAACAGGTAAAAAAATGACGACGGTCCTGTTTACTACTAGTTTTCTTCAGTACTATGCTATATATTGTGCTACTCCCTAGCAATCTCTGCTGTTAAATGATAGGGGGTTGATAATGCTCTTCATGATCAGTTAGGATATTTCTCTAGTTGTTGAACCTGCAAAATCAGCTCGCTTTGCATTTCTTTTTTGAACATCAATCTGTATTTCGTTTCATTTCAGAAAGGAGTTCCCAATGAACAACAAAAGGAAAGGCAGAAGCTAAGGAGAAATAAGCTCAAATCTTCCCAAACTCGGCCTGGTTACAAAAAAACCAGAAACCATCAACCTGTCACATCAATAGAAAAACAAGATGAACCTCAAAACACAATTATCCTGCAAATCTTGATTTGCATTTTAATCAGTGGGTGCCAGTTTGATGGAGTAGTTTCCAAGGGAAAGGATTTTGATCTGGTTCACATATGTACATTTCTATGACTTGGAAACTTGCTCTGCTGCAGCTGTCAATCGAAAGGATCTTTGCTTTCAACTCTACTTTGTTAGAATAATCAAGTGAAACGATCACTGCATTCAGCTTTTGCTTCACTTTGTCGTGGAAAATTGACGTGCTTAGCACCGGAGGATATCAGGATTTGTTTGTTCGGTGGACCTTTCCTTCCAGCTTGACTTTGATTTCAGTCTGTTAGGCTATGAAATCTTTGGCGGATGGAGATATCAAGTGAAAGGATCTTCGCTTTCAGCTTTACATGATCACGGTAAATCGGCTTGCTGGGCATTTCAATGAGTTTTTGTCTCATGAAATCATCAAGCAAAAGGAATTTTAGCTTCAGAATTTACAGAAAATTGATGGTTCTTTGCATTTTTCAGTGTTTATTAATTACTACAATTTCCTTTGCTCGAAATAGGGGTACTCTACCCATTTGTTTGCAATTGAAGAATAAACTTTTTATTATGTTTAATTAATCAAAATTTTAACATAATCTTCTTGTAATCTGCCCTTAATTACAAGTAACATTTATCGTGTAATCAAAATATTTGATGAATGTTTTTTACTTAAATATCTTGACAAAAACATAAAAGAGTTATAGTTTTAGTCGATATGTAATTTAAAATTAAAATAAGAAAAAAATAAAAAAAAATTAACATTTAAAGGAACTTCAAATTAGATTAAATAAAGAACTAAATCATTTAGAAATAAAAAAATAACTTATTGAGGTTGATATCAAATCAAATACACTTAAAACAACAAATTAGAATGGGTAATAATAAAAAAAAAGAAAAAACTTATTAATTAAGTTGTACTTGTATAATCAAAGATATTGTATTTAAAGTCTTGACCGTAAAAATCCAATAATTACCATTTATATTATGTATTTAATTTTAGGGTAGATTATAGTGAGACTATTAATAAATTAAATCACCAAAATAGTTTCTTTTTGTGTTTCTTTTATCTTCTTACTTTCTTCTTTTGTTTCTTTATAATCTACTAGTACTACTGATTTTTTTGAAAATTTTGAGATTGATAAGGGAGGAAATGGAAAAATAGTAAAGCAATTGATAAGGGAGGAAATGGGAAAATAGTAAAGCAATGAAAGAGAACCAAAAATACAAACAACTATAAAAACTTAGAAAAATACAAACATGACGCTGGACTCAAGCTAGACTATCGATTGTGAGCTTTCTTTCAAACGGCAGATACAGTGAAGTCTTGGTTCGGTTTGTAACAACATGAACTCTTACGCCTCGAGCATAAACATTTAAAAATCTGACTTTCAAAAAATATCTTCATCAATCGAACAGTAAATAGAAATGGGTTGTCTTCAATTATATTTTGTCGGTTACTGAGAGAGGTTCGCGACTTGGAAATACGTTCGAACAGAAGAAGATATATAGGAGAATATATGTAAAGCAAGAAGGGAGGAGCACAACCAATCACACAAACCAATATAGCCAGCCACAGCGTCTTCTGTAACACAACAAATAATCCAGTCACAAATGCTAGTGTCATTGCTATAAGTGAGATCCAAGTTAAACCAATGGCAAAAGGAAGGGTATCCAAGAATGATTCAGTGTCCCGACGAGAATTTGACCAAAATACAATAACTGCAGCAGTAATAGATGAAGTCATGGCAATGGCATCAGAGAGAACAAATGCCCGGAAAGCTGATTTACTAATTAACATTGCCAAGCCCTTATCCGGACCATCACTCTTAAAACCTCCAGGGATGGTAAAAGCCGCTGTAAACGTAAATGTAGCTATAAGGGTTGACATTACTGAGATTATTTGACCCATTTCTCTGATCTTTTTATCATCGCTCTTTGGCTTTTCTACTTTTGCATCAATTTTATCATCGCTCTTTGGCTTTTCTACGTTTGCATCAATTAATCGTGTATTTTCAGGAAAATCTTCAAGATTAATAACTTTCTGTTTATAAGCACTCTTTAATGCTTTCAAGGTTAAATGCTGCAAGGAACAAAAACATGACAATAAGTAATATTAGTAAAATACATTTCTAAGATTCTGGTAAAAATATGGAGTGAACCAAACTTGAAACTTGATCAGATTATTTCATGGAATGAACTTCATTTTGTGAATTATTGAAACATACTACAATAAAAAGTTAATAGACTTCAAAAAATCAAGTTGCATACCTTCTGCAGTTCCATTCCACGGTCATCAGGCAATGTAGCAATCGCTAAAGCAGTATTACCAGAGTTGTTAATTGACCTGATTTCCACCTTTGGATTCTTGGAGAGAACATCCACCACATCGCTGTGGTAGTTACTGACCGCCAGATGCAAGGGGGTGTTTCCAGCTACGTCAGGAGAGTTGATCAAATCTTCCATTTCAGGTAGCTCCAGAATATATAACACCGCATCCATATTTCCATGCTTGGCTGCAATATGAAGAATATTTTGCTGCATGTCGTCAACTATCTCAATTGTGTCTGGGCAAGGCTCTAGCAATCCTTCCATAAGACGTACTTGCCCAGTCGCTGCTGCCAAGTGAAGAGGTGTTTGATCATTTTTGTCTTTTTCGTATGCAATCAAAGGATGTTGCTTGATTAACTCCTGCACCATTTTTTGATGACCCAAGGCTGCAGCATAGTGAAGGGGAGTCCTTTTACTTTCATCTGGCACTCCAACGAGATCTTTTTTCTTATGTATGATGGTACGCATGATATCTGAATTTTAAAGCAAAAAAAAAAAAAAGTTGGGTTAATTTTATTTCTTATAGTGGAGTGGAGAAAGGTACTAAAACGTAAATCTTTCAGGAGCTTACCAAAATCTTGCCTCATGACAGCACAATGCAAAGGTGTTTGGCCTTTGTTTCCACGGTAATCAAGCGTAGAATCATTCAAATCTATGATTGTTTGCGCTATATCAGTCAACCTCATATCAATGGCAATGGAAAGTGGGGATTCGCCTGCATCATTAATCCAGAGTAACGATTCCGAATCTTTTTGTGCCAATGCATTTATTACCTTACGTTGTCCATTCCTGACAGCACCATGTAAAGGCGTATTACCAAATTTATCTCTGATACTCCCGATGTGTATCCCTGGATATTTCTCCACTGAATTGATGAAAACTTCAACGACATCATGTTCTCCAGCCCTCGCTGCGACATGCACCGGCGTCTCCCCTTTGTCATTGCTCTTAAAGGCAAGAGAAGGACGCTGATTGATGATCTTTTCTACCAAAAGCTTATACCCGAACCTTGCAGCCACGTGAAGGATCGTGTTTCCTTCTGGGGTTGTTCCATCAAGCACGTTCGCCTCAAGTGTTGGTAACTTCCCTGACCTTACTTCTTTGAGAACATCTGGATCCATGCGCACATTCATTGTTAATAACTTGATTCTAATTAACAAAGCTTTCAAGTTATTGCAAGTTCCTTTGCCAAATATTTTGAATGAGTTGAATCTGATCCAAAGAAAGTGCAGCAAGGTCTGATGCAAAGAAAGTGTGTGAACTAAAACATTGAATCTGATTAATATTTATCCAACATAAAAAGACTTAATTATGACATATCGTTGACTTAAATGTATGAACTGAATGTATTTTAAATGAAAATGATTCATTGAACAAAATTACTAATTTATTTTCCCAAGGTCTCATTAGCTGTATCAAACATATTGCATTCTTCTATTAACAAAAAATATTAAAAAAATAAGTAAACATAATAATGTTTAGGTGTGCATCCAATATTTAATATTTGGGATTGACTTTAATTAGGGCTCTTTTCCCTTCTTTCTATGAGACAATTTGTTTAATTAGTTAAATGTGAATGCTTACTGGCATCTTATTTTTTTTTAGCTTAAAAGACTTCATGTTTATGGTTTGGTCTTTGTTTAATGTTAATTAATATAAAAAGACTACCATGACCCGTACAATATAAAAAGAAAGAACATATGAATCTAAGTATTTGTATGTAGTCCGCTAAACTTCAATAAAAAAACACACAATCCCTGAAAGCCTACAAAGACAGACAGCTAAGTAAGCCCTAGTTTCTCTTTAATTAAGTGTTGTTGGTACATCAAGACAACGGTTTAATGCAATCGGACAATTAATTATTACAGAGAGAAGACCTACAATTAAAGTTGAAAATTGAGAGTAAGTTAAAATGCGTAGATCGATACATTAATTATACATATAAGTAATAAACCATACATTAATGAACTTGGCCATCGAGCATCCATTGTACCTCTATGTCTCCTCACATTTCGTAGGTATCAAACTTGTCATGTTATCAAATCTGATTCTATTATTGTTATTTCTCATATGCATAATATTGATTAGAGATTGTGGGATAAATGAAATATTTTTAACGAGATAGACTCTCTTAGGCTATCACTGGGATAAGTGTCCTTAGTGCACACCTTATGGAAAATGAATTCAATTAGGGATGCACTTACCAACTATATATGGAGTTGACAGAGAATTCATGTTTTCAGCATGGCGGTAATTACCATTTATTTTCATGTTCTATGGCTTTGCGTTAATGTTACCTAGCTTAGCCTTACATGTGGGATAGTCGTATTGTCAGTTTCTATGTAATATAGCTAGTCACCTTGTATGCTAGTTGATGCTTTGGCACTCTCTGGCATTTGTAATCTTTTTGGAAAGCTTCTATTGATCTTCACTGCTTATTACAATGTATTAGTGGAATCTCGTTTTTAACAGAGTAAAGAAAAAAAAATAATATTCTTGAAAAACCGATTGTTTTGACTAACGTCAATAACTATCGAACTGTTTGTTTGGTCTGATTTTTTTTTCAATTTATCTATTTCTTAAAAATAGAAGTTAAGCCGAACAAGATTTTGAGAAGTTTTTAAATAAAATAATAATTTTTTAAAAAAACAAAATTAAGAAAAGCTCCAAAAATGAGCTTTTTCTTCTTTTCTTTATCAAAAAAAAGTTAGCATTTTAAAAATTTTTTTTGCTCCAAAAATATTTTCATTTATTAAAAATAATCTCAATATTATTTTTTAAAAAACCACCTATTTGTCTCAATCAATATAGGTTTTTGAAGGTGTTTTGAACTTTATTTTTTGAGAGGGGATCATATACTAACCATTGAACTAAATTCTCGAGTGCCTCAATCGAAACAGCTTATAAAAGTAAATTTATTAAACAGTTTTAGCTTAATTTTAAAAAATATTATTTTTTATAAAGGTTTATAATAATTTTTTTTAAAAAAAACAAAGCAGACCAAATGGACTCTAAGTTTAGAGAAGAAGAAAAATAATGAACAATTATGAGAGAGTACAGATGCAAATTTATGCAAAAATTAAAAGAAGAAAATTGAGAGAATAATAAAATGCGTAAATTCATCCATACATACAAATAATAATTCTTCGTACATAAAAAGCAATACTCTTGAAAAAACGACAGAACTATGATTGTTATGGTTGAATTAATCAAATAGCTATAACCCCCGAAGGACAACGTCCAATTAATTAACTCAAAAGCAATAAATATGGAGTTCCAAGAACACGTTTTAATTCTAATAATTTATCCCCACGGTCAAATTGATCGGCTAGATCTGTATTTATCAGAATAAAAAATAAATAACAATCCTGGATTCAAGGTCCTTTTCATTGTTAATAACTTGCGTCTAATTAACAAAGCCTTTCAAGTTATTACAAGTTCTTTTTGCAGGAAAGACTTCTTATTTTGCCAAATATTTTGAAAGAGATGAATCCGATCCAAAGAAAGTGTATGAAACTAAAGCATTGAATCTGATTCATATTTTATTTAACAGAAAAGGACTTATTATGAAATTAACATGGTTGACTTATATCTATCTATGAACTGAAAGTATATTTTAAAAGAAAATTACTAATTTACTTTCTTAAGGTATAAACATATTAGTATTTAGGTGTGCATGCGATATTTAATATTTTGGATTGATTTTAGTGAGATATATATATATATGTGTGTGTATGTATATATGAATGCATGAACATGCAACTATAAATATAGAAGTCATTGTTAATTACAATTAATTTGTTTAATTTGTTAAATGTGAATGCTTACTTTGATCTTATTTTTTTTTTCAGCTTATAAGAGTTCGTGCTCATGGCCTTGTCTTTGTTAAATGTCAATCAATATAAAAAGACTTCTTGTTAAATGTAGTCAACTGACCTTCGATCTGAAAACCCGCAAAGACTTCTTAGCTTCTCGTTCTTTGTCCTTTTGTTTTGGAGAAGGCAGATAACTAATTATAACGTTTTTTTAATGCATAAAAATTAATACACCATACATGAAATTTATATTACTCTTGAAAAACCGATTATTTTGATTAATGTCAGTAAATATCGGCTTTTCAAAAAAAAAACCTATATATTAACATCTCTCTATTAAGTTTGGAAAATAAGATAAACTGTGGACAATTATTAGAGAGTGAAGATGAAGAAATTGAGAGAATAATCAAATATGTAGATGCATACATGCATACATAAAAATAATGAAGCATCATAGCTAACACACCCACCATAGCTAACACCCGAAGTTCAACTCCATTAAATTAAGCAATATTGGTCCAAAATTACGTTTTAATTCCAATAATTGATCCCCAAGGTCAGATCTGTTGGAATTATAAAAAAAAATAACAATTAGATCTGACTTTGACTTGTTGCAATATTTATTTGATTATATTCCTGATATATTTGCAGTAGTTAGTTCAAGCTAATCTTGGAAGTGTCCCTAGAGTCTTCTATCTTCCTGTCAACATTCATATCATTGATTCTTGAGAGGGGTGGAGACCAGAAAAGATATACATTGCAGCATTGTATCGATACAAGATCTCAAGGTACGCTTCAAGAAATTGCTCATCAGAAATTCTTATTTTCAACGTGACCTTATCGATTTCGTCTTTCATAGTTATTATCTGTTTTGTTTCATTGTTTTTCTTTTGGAGAAAGGAATGGGGATGTTTAGCGTTTAGAAAAAAAATTATATTGACAAGTACTCATTGAGTCGAGGTTAAGAAGAAGATGCTACCGATATCTTCTTGAGTAGCAGACTTCTTTTGAAAATGTACAAGTTTTTGAAAATGTAATAAAACAATGTATAATTGTCTTTAATATATTATATGTCATATGGATAGTAAAACCTTTAAATTTATCATTAGTCATTTAGATAACATATTTACCATATATTTGATTTGTAGAATGAAATAGAGAAGGAATGAAATAAATATTTTGTGACAATAGAATAGGTATGGAATAAAATAAAATAGTAGTTCATCGAAATAGAATACATTTGTAATAATATTAACAAGTTTAATTGATTAGAAAAATATCAAGAATTTATAAGGAATAACAATAAAAGACTACTTTACCCATTAATATAAATAATATATTTTAACATACTATTTGATAAAACTCTTGAAATATTTTAAAAAATATAAACAAGTTTAGTTGGTCTCTTGCAGCTCTCGCCGCAAAACCCTTAGGTGGTTCGCTGATGGCGAGTCGCTTGTTTGGCTTCCTTCTACTTTCTTTTACTCGTTATTTTTGTTATGCTTTGTACTGTATTGCTTTTACTAATGTCATGGAATCAATGTTACTTATAAAAAAAACTATATATATATATATAAAAGAAAAACCCAAAACCATTTTGTGTATGTTAGATGAATAATGAAGTTTAATTTTAATCCTTGCTATGAATTTTCCACAATTATAAGGCTGCCCGGCTGCCAAAAAGACGTTTAAGTCAAACAAGTAAATTCCCCTTGGATTTATAGTTTTTTGCTTTGTAGTTATGCTCTCCCTTTTAATTAGTATGTGGTGGGCTTAGCTGACCTTTGGAGTGCCAATTTGGTGCTTCCCAAAGCCAAATCTAGTCGTTGAAGCACTAATCTGATGCTTCCTTTGACTAGTTCTTGTCACTGGAGCACTAATATGGTGCTTCCTATAACTAGATGGGAATGATTTAGAAAGTAAAAAGAAAAGGTTTTAAGAAAAATGAAAACTAATCAAGTGAAGAAGGGGTGAAAGGAAGATAGAAAGAGGTTTAATAGTGCCAATCGACAGAGGACAATAACAACAATGGCGAAAGACAGACGTTGTTGCCGACAATGATTTACTTTCAAGAGAGGAGCGAGCGGGATGTGAAAGAGAGAGAGAAGAAGAAGAAGAAGAAGAAGAAGAAGAGAAAAGAAGATTTTAGTAGTTATTTGTTACTAATTTTATAAATTGATTATAGATATTCTTATCAAAATATTTCTTGATCTGTTTCTTACCACCTAAACCGAGGAGGAGGTCCAGGATAATGATTCAAGGAGTTTAAAGAATAGGAAATTCCATAGAATAGTCATTCTTTAGAGTATAAAAGCATCCAATATTAAAAGGTATAATATTTTAAAAAAATTTAAATGAGTTCTTATTTATATATATTTTGTTCAATTAAATTTTTATATTTTTATCTTGAATCCAATAAATTTTTATAATTAATATTGACTTAATCAAAATATCATTTATCATTTTATGTTATGTAGAGTCAACGAGATATTTTAATATATCATAATTAATGATGACATGACATGACATACTACTTTGATATAAAAACATGATCATGTAATATTTTTGACTTTTCACATTTATATTATATTAATGTCCTGGGGATATAAAATGATAAGTATTATTTTGATTAATAGTAATTAATTAAGTATTAGTCATTAGAATTTATTTGATTCAAAATAAAAGTATAAAAGTTTGATTGAACGTAAAAAATAAAATAAAAATTTATTTAAATTTTTTTAAATAATTTAAAGACT